TTTCCCTAGATACTTACGAGCTTTGTATCTGCCTTTTAGAACCTGAGCTGGTTTTTTGACTCTACTAATGAAGATGTTACTTTGTCGACTTTTGAGCCATCTAAAACCGAGTTACCTGTCTGTCTCTCAGGATCCACATTAACTCTTACAACACACTGCACAACCACTGAGGCCAACTCTTTGAAAATACTTTTTAGGTTTTTTTGTTGGGGTTTTTTTGGCACAGTTTGCCCACCATGAAGCTATCAGAAAGCTATATATATACTCCATCCTGGTCAGTTCATGGTCCCAAACGTGTCACAGCTGCAGATTTTCTCATTAAAGTTCGAGCTGTGCTAAGTATTTACTTACCCACATGTTGGCAGTGCGAGAAAGACACTACAGACCGGGCTGGCCTGATAAATCTCCTGAATGTGCAATAGCTGTTATGCTGTATATAAAGCTATATAGCACTAATTAGAGTAAATGCTTGAGTGACTTTTTCACCAGACATCATTCTGATAATTTCTTCCTCTGGTTTTCAAGCCTGTCCCTAAGCTTTAATCGTTGCTGTCTGTTCTTTTCCGTATGGATGCCGATGCCATCCAGCCCCTTGAAGACATATATGGTATCTGTCTTCTTTACCTTTTGTTTACTGGTAACAGGGTAATACCCAAGCTGCCTTTGTGTCTTATATGGTACTTTGCAAAATGTAAGTACGCCTGGAAAACAAATGCATGTTAATTGCATAGCATACTCTCAGGCCGACAGGATGGGCCTTAATTTTTAGCTTCTTATTCCTGATGTGCCTTCAAGTTCCAGTAGCCACTGCCTGCTAATGGTTTTAACTCTCTTTTGGTGTACATGTTTTCTTTAGCTGTAAATGCTCATTGCATATTTTGCAATAAAATGGTTGCTTTATTTTGAATTATTTGTGGATCTTTTGAAGGGTGAAAACTGAGTATTTATTTCCAACCAAAAGAATAATTGAAGAATGATGTCTTCTGAAAAAAAGAAAAAAGTCTAAAATGTTTCTATATGTCCTGCTGGTATTCAGAATTATTCTTCTGGTCATTACTCACTTTCTGTTACAGCAATGCATAACGCAATGGCACTTTCTGTTGTTGAAGGAGATACAGTTCAGATTTTGTATCACAGCGGGCTGTGCGCAGCATGAGAACTGACCAGAATAGTCTCTGTGCAATGGAGCTCTTTTTTTCTCTGCACAGAAATGGAGGGAAAAATAATTTACATTTGTGACTAGATTTTACTTGCTGTATTTTGTATTTAGACAGTAAATTTAAACTGTTTGTGATTTTAGAAAAAATTGCTTAACCCTTAGATACATTTTCTAAAGGGTGCGTACTGCTGCTATTAGCTCTTACCACATCAATTCTAAAAGAGAATATTTTTCTTAAGGAGGT